TTTTTTAATTACCCCCTGTAATTTTTTCTGTTTCTCCTTGGCCAGGTCCTCAGAGGAGCACATCAGCCATGCCTATCACCTGCTGATGACTCGGCTCAACGAGGAGCACGCCGAGATGCGCTTCTCGGCTTTCCAGATCGTGCAGGAGTTGTTCACCCGATCCCATCAATTCCGGATGCTGATTATTTCCAACTTCCAAGAGTTCTTGGAGCTCACAGTGGGGATAGACCATGAGCAGCCTCTTCCCCCACCCAAAGAGGTGGCACAGAAGCTGAGGAAAGCTGCCATTAAGTCGGTGCAAGACTGGCACGAGAAATATGGAGAGGCCTACAAGAAGCTTGCTCTGGGATACCACTTCTTAAAGCAGAACAAGAAGGTAGTCTGCATTCTTACTTCTGTGTGTGTTTTTAGGTGATGGTCGACAGGTGAAAGGAGGGTGTAGAGAGGTGGGGGTGGGTCTGTTCAACCAAGGAACAAGTGACAGGACCAGAGGAAACGGCCTCAAGTTGTGCCAAGGGCAGTTGAGATTGGATGTGAGGAAGAATTTCTTTGCTGAAAGGGTTCTTGGGCATTGGAAGGGGTTGGCCAGGGCAGTGGTGGAGTCCCCATCCCTGGAGGGATTGAAGAGTCGTGTAGACACAGTGCTGAGGGACATGGGTTAGTTGGGGACTTACCAGTGCGGGGTTAATGATTGGACTCGATGGTCTTAAAGGTCTTTTCCAATCTAGGCAATTTGGTGAGGTGTTTAAAGCCAGGAAACCAATACATTGAAAAGCTGTTGGAAACAATGTTGTCTTTAGGAGGCATCCCGTTGAGCATGGCCTTTGAGAAACAAACCCCAAACTCTTTGTTCATCGTGCAGTATTGTGAAGTTTTAAAAACCCCAGGCTTGTGCTCAGAGCTGGGCTCAACTGGCCTTTTCTCAGAGTGTAAAAAGTATTGATCACCAGTAGGCTTTCACCCACTGATTCCTACCTGAAACCCCAAAGTCTGGCCTTTTTAGAAGGGAAGTAGTGATTACACTTTAAACTGAAGATAATCAGCTGTTAAGTCTTTCTGTACCAGTTTAAAGCAGCCTGACTTCTGTACTGAGCTGGCCAGTTCTAGTGTCCAGTCACTGTCCAACAGAGACAGTGAGTGTGGGTGCTAGCCTGCCCTCAGCTGCAGGGATACTGTGTGTTGTACAAGAAGTTTTAGTAAAGAAGAGTTTATTATATGTAAACACTCGCTTTTAGCTTTCCCTTCAAGGCTTTAGGTTACTGTACTTTTGAACATTCTTCTGCTTTATTATGTCTTTTGAAGTGCAAACAGTAAAATTGGGAATACTATTCTAGCATTCACACAGTCTACAATAATAGTACAAGGTTTTCAATAAATATATTGATTCTCTTTCTCTTCAGAAAGACAGATGTTCAGTGTTCCTAGAAGTAGATCAAAAACCTTTGAATAAATGATGTTTACCATTGTTCTACTTCCATGCTAAGCTAAGTGTACTCTACTTCTATTATTTATTGTACTTTGTTATTTTTCTATACAGTTTTTGCTTACAAAAGGTGATTGTCTTTGAATCCTCCCTTATTGTCTTGTTTAATAAAGGAAAAAAAATAATAAATGAAAGTGACAAGGAAAAATGCAAGACTGAGATGAAGGAGTTTGTACATGTAACACGGTTTTACCAATTGGAACACCCAAGCGTACAAGTTTGCCGATGTTTGGCGTCTCTGTCTTTGCTCCTGTGGTTAATGGCAGCTCCCCAGTTACGGCTGGGTGATCCCTGGGTGTATTTGTGATACTAAGCTACTCGGCAGGAATGGCTGTCCTGTTTCCTAGAGCAGCTGAATTTGAGTAATTCTGGAAACATTAGTACCAGTGGAAGCAATCTGATGTAGTTTGGTAACTCTCGTACTTAAACAGTTGAGATGAGCCAGCTGACCTAACTAGCCTTTTGCCAGCTTAGTGCTTGAAGTGTGAGAAACAACCAAAGGATTTGAGGAGGGATTTGTACTTTCTAGTAGTAAAGTACATCTGCTGTTCTGTATTGCAGGTTTGGCACAGTCGTATAGGACAACTTGACAGGAGTATTAGTTGTGTGTGTGGTTTGTGGTTGTTGGTTGGGGTTTTTTGGTTGTTTTTTTTTTTTAATTATCAGCGAAATCACCTTATAACCCGTTGATCAGAGATGACAACTGCTGCCCTTTTAGGGTATAAACATGTAAAGCTACTCACTGTTGTGTCCAGTTCTGGGCCCCACAGTTCAGGAAGGACAGGGAACTGCTGGAGAGAGTCCAGCACAGAGCCACCAAGATGATGAAGGGAGTGGAGCATCTCCCTTATGAGGAAAGGCTGAGGGAGCTGGGGCTCTTTAGCTTGGAGAAGAGGAGACTGAGGGGAGACCTCATTAATGTTTACAAATATGTTAATGTCATGAGGATGGAGCCAGGCTCTTCTCAGTGATGCCCAATGATAGGACAAGGGGCAATGGGTGTGAGCTGGAACACAGGAGGCTCTGCTTAAACTTGAGAAGAAACTTCTTTACAGTGAGGGTGACGGAGCACTGGAACAGGCTGCCCAGGGAGGGTGTGGAGTCTCCTTCTCTGGAGACATTCAAGACCCGCCTGGACGCCTTCCTGTGTGATGTCATTTAGGTTCCTGCTCCAGCAGGGGGATTGGACTGGATGATCTTTCGAGGTCCCTTCCAATCCCTAATATTCTGTGATTCTGTGATAGTAGGTCCATGTTAGTAGATACCTATATAAATGTTTGACTTCAAGAACAAGTAATATTTCAGTCTATCTGAAAACAATTGTTTTCAAACTCCTGTCTCAAAATTTAAAAAAAAAAGAAGATAGGAGGGGGGGAAAAAAAGATTTTAAATATTTCCAAATGTTTGCGTATTTGGGCAACTGAGTCATATTATAGTATCTTTGCACTTGAGGAATGCATGGATGGATCACAGAGTGAACAGGATTTGAGCAGTTTAACGTACAGTATCTTGCTGCTGTACTTCAGTATTTTCCCCAAAGTTGTGGTAGTTGTTATCACCAAAATGTGGTTGGATGGGTTCTGACCAAGTTTGTGGGTTAGTGCTGACCCCAGGTAGCAGGTGAGTCCATGCACACATCCATAACTCAGGCCTCTGAGTTATTCAGACCTTGTGAGGCTTCTGTAGGAGGCCACTGTGCCCTGTTTGGGCAGCTCAAAGCGTTGTGTGTGCTGTAGGCTTGGTTGGTGATGGTGTCTAGTATGTGAGCTGTGCTCTTGATTTGGCAGATGTTTTAAGAAGGGCATCTGGCCCAGTGCTGAAGCATGAAACAACACAATGGAGCAGCATGTGGCTGGTCATTTTGGGACAGAAAATGGGCAAGAATGGGCAAATGACCCTAATGCTGGTCTTCTGGTATGTGGCAGAAGTTGTGATTTAGGAAATTAGGGCTAATTTCTTGTTTTCTGTACAAATCCAGTCTGACTGCCTAGAAACAGTAGCTGTAGTTCCTGGTTCTGTATCTTTGTTCCATTTTTGTGGGTGATGTTGCTCTTTGGGAGGATCTGTTTCTCCTGCTACTGTAGGTGAACTTGGTAGACAAATCAGATCCCGAAAACCGAAAAGCTCACCCAGGTGCTCCATCTGCTGCTATAGGTTGTGAAACCAGTTCTTTTCCCTACCTTCCCTCTGCCCCTCTCATTCCCCAATAAAAAAAGAGCTTGGCAAGTGTGCTTCTCTTCCTAAACTGGTGGAGACTCTCCATGCCAGTTTCTGTATCAAGTATCCTTTTGCTTCTAGCAGCTTTTATGTAAAAAACATTTGTCTTTAAATTGTTTACATAAATAATACTTGTGAAAACCTTATGACTTATTGCACACTGTAGGGAATGTTGAGCAGTAGAAACATTTATATAGCAAGATATTTTAGCACATTGTTAAGCCCAAATTCAAGCATTATTTTTTTAACTTCCATAGTGTTTAATGGAGTTACCTACTTGTTTAATGCTGAACAAATATGAAAAAGTTCTTGTAATTCTGAGATGCAAAATTCCTGCTTCTACAAAAAATATGCCGACTTCAGTTGTAGAATGTACTTGGTTTGCTTTACCTGTGGCTAGTAAGTCCATGTACACGTTACAGGAGAGATCTTCTGGAACTAGACAGAAAGTGAGATTTATTTGTCCTGTATAGAGTGATCTCAGTGTTGTGGTGGCCTCTGCCTCATCAGTGAGGTTCAACTTCACTGTTTCTCTCTTGTGTGACTCCAAAATGTTGGTGTAGAATGTCAGGATCTGGGAACCATTAATGAATGTTGACAAGCTTGATCATCTGGCAGTGGCAATAATGTTCAATGACAAATATTCAGTGGTAATTGTAATACAGACAGCACTGGAGAGTCTACGGACTCAGCAGCAAAACATGGGCTTGTTCAGCACTCAGCATAATCTGTATTGAAGTTAATGAAAGTTATGAGCTGGCAGGCAAAAGAAAATACTGTGCTTCTTTTTTTGAAGGGATTTCCTTATGCAATAATACAATCAAGACTCCTTTCCTTAAAATAGAAGCGAAAAATATTTATATTTTAAAGCCCTTCTAAGAACAAACTAAAGAAAAAAGCCAAACAGCAAACCACCCATTGTAAATATTTTAAGTAACAGCATTTTGTCAGATTTATTTTTTTATTTTAGTCATAAGAAAATGAAGTGAGACTGAATTATAATCTTTCCTTCAATCCCTAAATTAAAGAAATGTAACTGCAAAATCCAAAATTTGGTCTTTTTCATGAATTTGAATGTTGTCTTTTCTACTTCCCTGGCTTACGAAGTTCTTCAGTAAGTGATGTGTACACTTGTGATAATAGTGCTTACAAATTTTCCTAAACTTCTTTTACTAATAGTGTACCTAGTGGGATGTTTTCATGTAATTTGAATACTTACCCTCCGTAGTCTCTTCCTGCCCATTCCCCCTCACCCCATGTCTCCAGTGCTGTCACAGGGATCTCCCAAAGCTTAGTTTATTCCTGCAGTCTAGATGTGGAAATCTGTTTTGTTTTTCTGCCTTATGATTCCTTTCTGAAGGCCGTGCGTTCTCAGCAGTCTCTTATTAGCAGAAGTAAAAACTCCATTCAGAACTACTGTAGTTATTGATTCTAGGAGGAGAAGAGATAAAAGGAAGTACTGCTGAGCTTCTGGCTGATCGCTCTTGTTAGAGGATTTTTCACCGCAGATAAGAATCTTAGGAAATGGATTTTCTGTATATTTCTTAGGAGGAATGTTATACTTTTTTTTCCTTAATTTCTTCCTTAGGTGGATTTTCAAGATGTGCATGCCAGAACTGTGGCTGAAAGGAGGAGGGAAGAGGAGAAGCAAAAACGACTGGATAACATTTACAAAGAAAAAGCCAAAAGAGCTGAAAAAGAAATGGAAGGTGAGTTTCTTCGGTTCTTCTACTGGTTTGGAGGGTGTTTTTGTCCGTTTTTAAAGCAACTTTTAAAGTTGTTATAAAACAAATGTGAAGGGAACGGCTATCCAAATAATAGGTGACTGCAGTGGGCGGGAATAGTACGTTTGTTAGAGCTTGACCTTCTGTACTTCTCACCTAAAGAATTATCAGAAGAAACAAGTGACAGTCCTGTGAGCTCAGCACGAAAAGATAGCAGAAAAAAAAGTTAGCAAGAAGAGGTTTAGTCTAGTAATTCAGTGAAGTATGAATGTATTATTTCAAGCAAGCATGCTATGAGACTTTTTGGAGCTAGTGGCTTAATTTCTGAGTCTGTGAACAGGCAGAGACTTCTCAATACCTTGTGGACTGATGACCTTCATTATATTGTATATACAGCCATCATGTTCTAGAAGTATGTGTGGTGGTCTGCACAGAAATCCTGGATGCAGTGTAGTATATCTATGAAAAGTATCATACTACTGATAAAAATATATCTAACTGGGGGCTGAATCTATAAGCAATGTGTGCGTAGCAAGCATCTATAATACAAAAGAATAGAGATAGTAAGTATATTACGTTGCAGTTACAAAGGGTTATTTAATTAAATTACTTTGGTATCTGCAATCTGCAGTTGTGTCTGCATTTATTCTGCATGCTGGAAATGTTCTCATGCTTGAGGGTGGAATTTTAAAGAGATTTAACCTTCTTAAGTCACTTTTATTGGTAGCATCGTTTTCAGCAGTAGCATATATTCATGACTGCAGCTACAAGCAACTGTAATGTTCATGGCTGTGGAGTGAGTACCTGCCAACATCACTAAGAATGTCCTCATTGAACCTCATTCTCCTTCAAATTCTGTCAAGTATTTGCATCATCTTTGATGCATAGTGAAATTTTAGAAAGGATAGGAAAAGGAAGAACACTGATTTTAAATTCCTCGCTCAAGATGTTCTAGATTTCCTGCTTAAGAAAACTGTTAGCACTTTTATAAGGACAATTTCTGCAATGGAGAGAGTCTGTATGGATAAATTACCACTGATTACTGGATAAATAGATTACCCTTCTGGCAGTTGTGTTTGGTTTGTAGATCTGCTATGGAGACATTAGCATTTTACATTGTTTTACAACATTCTAAAACAATTGTCTCTTGATAGAAATGTCCCAAGAGGTTGCCAACACGCTGACAGAGATGGAAAACTGTTTCCGACTTCTGATGCCAGATCCTTTTGACTTCACTGTGAATGAGACAGAGCTGGAACCCAACAAACAAATGACTGCTAATGACGATAGACCTGCATCCTCCTTGTCTTCCCAGGTGGAAGTTGACCAGTCCTGTTTTGGATGTATGGATGATGAACAGCCATGCTGCAGCAAGGACATTCTCTCTGTTTCTCAGTGTGTCAGAACTGATAAAAACAAAGAGTTAGAAGAGAAACAGGAGAAACTGGAGCAGAAAGAATTAGATGGAGGCACATGCTTGGAAGTTCAGTCTGATGCCCCCGCTCTCAATGATGATGATTACCAGACTTTTGTTAGGAACCATGGGCTTATTTCACATAAATATACTCTCGACCTTGAAATCTCCACAGGTATTTGGAAAAAATTTTTCACATGCAGCTGGAGACAGTCTTTGTGTGAAGTCCTTTGTAGCTGGATTTTTTTTCCCCTATGTCTTAAATGCTTGGAGTTCCTGAACACCATTTATTTTGGAATTCTTTTCTATTTCTGGTTCAGCTAATAACCTTTGTTAGGTTTGAGCGTCCTTGTATGTGTTTTACAGATTTTATTAATTACCTTTTAAGAATGAACTTTGGTATTGATTGTTGTAACCATATTGCAGGGCTTCATAGTACCTGGAATAAGATGAGTTTCCTGTGTTTAAAAAAAGTTACCATCTGTTACAGTTTATAATTTTATTTTCCATATGCTTCACTGTTCACCTCTTTCTTTCTTTCTTTCTCTTTATACCTGTGGTAAACTACTAATTTAAAAATCTTACAATTGGCTGTTTCATAGACTTTTTTTCCTTGCTATTGACAACTTGCAAGAAGCAATAAGTAGAGCTCTGCTAGGGAGTCTTGAGGATTATGATTTCACCTTTTTTAGGTGCAGCTAACTTTGCTAACGTTGTAACTTTGCTAATATGAATTACCTCTAGAAAAATTAGGATGGTTTGTGTTTTGGTAGTTGAAGTGAAGTCTCTTACAAACACTGTCCTAACAGAATTTGACATGCAAACAGTCAGTAAGACGCGTATCTACTACTGTGCTTGCAGGGAACAGAATTGGAAACGTACCTGTGGGGCTTAAGAATGACTAAGAGGTGACAAGTACCATTTTCACTTGGGTAGTGGCACACTTGGCTGCTTTGGTAATCGAGTCCCTATTGCCAGTGGGGCAGGGATTTTTTTTTTATATTGTATATGTAGAAACATATCAGTAAGGCCTGGTCCATTGATTGGAACTTAAAGACAAGTTGTAATGTAAATAATAAGACTGTACTTCTCTGTATTTTATTTAGTGATTCCTTAGTAGTGATGGCTTAACAACTCCCTCATCACTGGACTGAAAGCTTTTTCTCTTTTTTTTTTTCTTGAATGTGTGGATAATGGTAGAATAATTAGTACTGAACAGAGAAACATTCTGATGTTTGTAACTTTCCCTAAAGTGTTCAAATATTTTTGAAAGGTTCATGTCTACTTCTGCTTAGCTGTTTTAGCTCCTGTAGTGAAGATACTATAGACGTTGTGCACTAACTTTTTTCCTCTGTTTTGATCAGATATAAAAGTGGATGAGAATGAGGATAATACTGCCATAATAAACAATGTCATGGATGCTCACAAACTCCTCAGAAATAAGTTCTGGCCATCTGTGCAGTCCTGGATTCAGGTAGGATGAAGAGTAAATGTTTTTTGTTTTTGTTTTTTTTTTTAATAAAAACATGGTGAAGCAAGGATTGGGGTACAGTAAATTTGAGGAAGAGTGAGCAAAAAGGAAATTAAGGTTGAAGAAATGTTGGTGCAAATAGAAAAGATTTCTAGCTCAGTAGGGGTGGACAACAGGAGACTGCAGGAGCTACATAACTTGTTTGATGGCTCCCAGCATTAGGTATGGTGTTTTGTTTTGTTTTTTCTTTAAAGATACAGTAAAATGGAGTTTCTTTGCAAAGGGTTAAAGTAAAACACAGTTTGTTTTTGTCAGACATGTCTGTATCAGAAAAACAATGTGTCCTTTCTCTCAGTTGATTCTACTGCTCAGGAGCTTGTGCATTTGGCACATAGAAATACACTCTCAGGAGATGTTTATATCAGCTGTTCATTCTTTGTTTGTCTTCTATTAGCTTTCATATTTGAGGTAGGAGAAGTGGCTTCACTAATTGTTACTTGTAAGATCAAGGAGTTTGTGAAAATGTTGTTTCATTAATTATGAAGGAAAACTGAAAATGTGTTTTGGCTCAGATGTCTAGAAAAAAGAATAAGAATGTTGATTTCTTGCTTTGCAGTTATTTACCAGAGCAGGAATAAATGATGATCGGCTAAGATGTGCCATTGATCTCAAGAATAAATTGGAGACTGCTATGAAGAAATACAAGGAAATGAACATTTCCTTTAAAGAGAGGAAAAGAAAAGTGGTGAGTTTCTTAAAATTCTGTTTTATTAGAGCAGACCATTAGTAAAATGCACTCTCTCTTAAGCCTTAATCTGGCAAGCTTTTCAACACAAGCTTTATTGATAAGTACACTAATTCAGCTGGTTGTAGCTTCACTCAAGGAAGTTTCACTAAACAGGTAGTATGCCAGGGGCCTGGTTAGACAAAACCATGTAAGGCAGCACTGTTGTTGTTTAGAATAGGGAGGGAGTTAAGTTCAGATTTTATTTACTCTTAGTTTCTTCATGTGTAACACTGGTATGTCCTCAGCTTCTTTCCTGCATATTTGTTAGTAAACACTGTATTACTCATGTTCTTTTACAACTTGCTAAACTATACTAGTGTCTCACAATTCAGGAAAGTAGTGTTTCTGCTTTGGAGCATTTACTCTCTTTAGTGAGCATGTAATGTGACTGAGGTTATCTTGAAATAATTTGTTGTTAAATAAAGCTTTAAAGTGTCAAAATATTTCACAAAGATTAGCCACCTATGACAGTTTTTGTGAAATAGGTAAACTTGTGAATAAATGGATGCTGAAAGATCAAATACTTTATTCAGATCCATAAAGGGAGTCTATGACTTGTTTATAGCTAAAAAGCAGAGCTACGTAGTATTAATTTCTGTTGTTTGCCATCAAATTAAATTACTGTGTAGCTTGATATAAAAACCAAGTGTCTTGGGTCAGGATCCAGTGCAAAGTCTGGTTTGTGACTGGATTGTAAGAATTTGATCTGAACATTATACCTTGGACTAAATTGTGGTTGCCTCATTTAGCCATGACTGAGTGTTGTAGGCTTTGCTTTCATTATGCAAATGAAGCTTTATCAAGATTAATCTGGTTCATCACCTTAATACCTACTGATGTACCACATCAGTCAAAAATGCCAACTCTGAATGAAAAGTACTGAAAGACTGTCTTGTCAGAGGTTTGGTTTTTTTTTTCCTCTGGTGAAATATGTGTGCTACGTTTATGCAACCAGCTATGAAGGAATCCAGACATCTGCTGTCATTCCTGCCATTTGCTTGACAGGACTTCATTTGCTGCACCTCTGCATGGAATATTGGTTGCTATATTTCTTGCAAGATATAAAGGATGTTCAGGCCTTGATTTTTGTGTGTGTGTGTGTGCGCATGTGTATGTGTTAAAGTGATATTGTTACCACTTCTGGAGATTGATCAATGCTATCTATATAAGATTTGAAAGCTAATAAATTCCAGCATTAGCAGGAGAAAAAAAAAAGGAAAATAAACATAGCAGTGCTCACAAAGAATACATTCAAAATGAAGCAATGCAGATTGAGGGATTAAGTTAAGCATCAAAAACAATATATAATTATTCCTAGGGTTTTTCTCCAATGCAAAATACCCAAATTTAGTGTTGGTGCTGAGTTACTTTAAATTTATAACCTGAACATATAGAGCTTTGTACTGCAAAAGGAAAGTGTATAAATTATCTTTTATTTGCATGTGAAATGACTTTGTTGCAACGTAAAAATGCAGTAAAATGAGTCTGATAGAACTAAATAAAGAGCATCTCTTAGCCTGTCATTGTTAAATCCCCATCTGTCAAATATTTATGCGTCAGCATATGAAACACTACATGCAGCTCGTCTTTAATTCAGCGTTGCTGTCTGCATTAGGTACTGTTGCTTCTGTCCCTACATCCTTGTGTCAGTGGAACTGTAGTTCTTGCTATGCCAAAGATTTGCTGTTTTCTGTATCTTTAGATCCAAGAGGAGTGCTGAGTCTGTCCTGCAGGGCACTGGCTCACAGCCATCCATCATCCAGTCCAACCATAAACCCAGCATTGCCAAGTTCACCACTAAACCATGTCCTTTAAATACCTCCAGGGATGGTGACTCCACAATCCCCCCGGGGATGGTCCCCCCCCCCCCCCCCTGCCCAGCCTCTTCCACTACTTGACAACCCTTTTAGTGAAGAATTTTTTTGCTAATATCCAACCTAAACCTCCCCTGGCGCAACTTAAGGCTGTTCCCTTTTCTCCTATCACTTCTTGCTTGGGAGAAGAGACCAACACCCATCTCACTACACCCTCCTTTCAGGTAGTGGGGGAGAGCCAGAATCTCTCCCCTCAGCCTCCTCTTCTTCAGCCTAAACAACCCTAGTTCCCTCAGCTGCTTCTCATCAGACTTGTTCTCCAAACCCTTCCCCAGCTCCATTGCCCTTCTCTGGACATGCTCCAGCACCTCCATGTCCTTCTTGGAGTGAGGGGCTCAAAACTGAATCCAGCACTCGAGGTGCCACCTCACCAGTGCCCAGGACAGGGGCACAATCACTTCCCTGGTCCTACTGGCCACACCACTATTTTTGATCCAGGCCAGGATGTTGTTGGCCTTCTTGGCTACCTGTGCGCGCTGCTGGCTCATGTTCAGCCACTGCTGACCAACACCCCCAGGTCCTTTTCTGCCAGGCAGCTCTCCAGGCACTCCTCCCCTGGGGTTGCCTGGGGTTGTTGTGACCCAAGTGCAG